TTACAATTGTCAGAGTAAGTTAAGAATGGCTAATATTATTAAAAATGGAGCAGTATCTTAGATTCATATAAATTTTGCACATTAAAGGAATTTCTCATTCTTAGAAAATTCCAGTACGTTTTTACAAATAAGTGTTCTAAAACATAATTTTCAGTGACAGAATTAGTCTAAATGTTGTTCACTCAGAGTACAGTATTTGTTCTAAAATAGAATTGATGAAAGAAGGTAAGTGTGCAGTCAAGATGAAAACTGTTCTGCACCATGACCGGTGGCAGTATTCTCCATGGACCCAACTGGCCCTGTTTTCAATAAAACCCGAGGAGGATCCTTTCCCTGGAGTCCTGTTAGGCTGGGGCTGCTGTTGGAACTGTCATGTTCACACAAAAGGGAAAAGGGTTGGGTTTTACAAATGTGAAGCCTAATTGGGAGATCTTCATGGCTGTACCCTTGACATTTATTTAAGCCTCATCAACAAAACAGGAAGTAACCGTACTAATTAGCAGACCAGCACACAAATTACTATTTGCTGGGGTGTAGATGCAGATTCATAATCTATTCCCAACATAAGCTAAGTAATGGCATATAGGCTTAAAACAACATACATTTTGATTTTGTTCTTTTCTATAGTACCCAAATTATGAAACGTTATTTTTTCACTTATTTAAATACATTCTTGAATTTAAATGACCATAATCTCATTTTAATCTTTTGAAAACAGATGAAAATAAAGTGTGTCATTTATACACATCCAGCTGGAAACTGGAAATGTAAAGTTCTTTACATAGCTGAGATCAACTTCTCAAAAAATAAGGAATAGGAAAAATAAAGCTCACATTCTTTATTTTGATAATTTTACTGACAAGAAAATGAGATACTTAAGGTCTTATAAACTTAGAAATCAAGAGATTTCTCAATAAAATAAGCTGTATATTTCTTCTCAAATCATAAACCAGGATCTGAAGTTATCCCTACTTAGAATGAAGACAGACAAATTTAGGGTCCCCACTACTTTAGTGAACTAGAGGATTGTTAGTGACTTTGGACAGTTACTACCAAGAGAGAAGAAAGTCAGTGCCATTGCGATAAGAGACCTGATGTTCAAGATATATGTATATGCATGAATGGGTAGAGGCCAATTATTAAGTGCCTGTTATGTGGCAGGTATTTTATATATATATTATCTATAATAATGCCTATAGCATTCTAGCAAAATGACATGTATCGTTATTACTATTGCACAAATGTAGAAAGTAAGGCTTAGGGACACTGTGTTTTGCTCAAAGCTAAATGCTAGTAGTTGTTTCAAAGTCAAGTCTCTCTGGCTCTCAACACCATACCTTTGTCTCTAAGGGCCCCTCCTCCACAAACATTCCACCCAACACAAAGGCAGGCCTGTAGTGGTTAGGTACTTAAATTCCAGAATCAGTCTGTCTGCTTTTCAATCCCTACTCTGCTCTTTATTACCTGGTAGAACTTTGGCCACATGTCTTCATCCCTTTGCTGCTACTAAATCTGAAAAATGGGGTTAACAGTTCCCAGTGTGCTTGGATTGTTGGGAGTTTTAAAGTAATCACATCATTCACACAAACATGCAGATGGCCTCACTGTTCATCAAGGATCTGTCTCTTCCTCATGTTTTCCAAGTCTGCTCTAGTGTGCTTTGGTGTTACTCAACTCTAAAAACTGAAGTTTGGAAAACAGTAGGAAGGACCTCAGAGCTATCTAGATCACCAAACCCCAGAAGTCCTACTGAATCACATTTCTGTAGGTAACTGAATTCACCACATGGCAAGTCTTTTAAGAGAGGATGGTAATTTGAATAATCAAAGGTAAGATGGGGCCCAGAGACACCGGTTCCTCAGTGAGAGGCCATTTCCAATATGAGAAAGGGACGCTACTCTTCTAGCTCAGTGAGCCTGAGAGAAAGAAAAAAAAAAGTGCATTCTAAGTTTATTTCTACTCGTAGCCTTTATTTTCAAAAATATTTTCTTAGGAAACCAAGCTGTCTTTGAGAGAGGTATTACTAAGCCTGAGTATTACAAATGATAGACACTGCACAGAAGAGAACAAAGAAAGAAAACTAGATTTCTGTCCCTACATGCCTCTCCTGGGTACGTCCACTGGATGCGAGCTCTCGGGACACTGACTTCATCTGTGGACCTGCAGTATCTAGTCCCATTTCCTGGAATGGCTGCATACCTCCTGAACAATTTTTTTTTTTAATCCTTGTACATTATGAATCATGGTAGGTGTGTTTGTCTCTTCATTTTGGCTGCTAAGCTCTCATGTGAGAGCTGAGGCAACAGCAACCCACTAGCATAGGCTGACCTTAAACTTACTAAGCTGCAGGTTTATGATACAAAGATCCAGCCTCTAGGTACTTAAAAGTATAGATTTTATTTCTTTTTTTGCAAAGAGGACTCTTGGGCAAATGATAACACGGCAACTAGAGATAGCAAAACTCTTCTGAGATTTTGTCACAGTCCTTAACACCCTTCTCTGAGAACTGCTTTTCCTGTTTGCCCCTACTACTCGCCACTGTCCTTGGTAACATGGTATTCTCCTTGCTTTTCCGACAAAAGGTTACTGAACCAAGGATTAATGCTGGATCCAAGAGGGCTGTTGACAGTCTTCCAAAAGGAATTGGCTGTGGGCATTGTGGCCCATTCCTAGCAGCTGTTTGAACCAAGGGCCTTGAAAGCTCAATGTCAGGCTCATGGAGGAGCTGAGAAAGACAATCTAGAGAATGCACAAAGAACAGCTATGCAGAGAGAGGAACAAGCCAGGGAGAGATAGAGAGAAGCAGGTTAGGAGGTAAAGGGTAGGGAGGGCTGATATTCTTCCTTGATTTTTCCATTTTCTAGCTCCAGTCCTACCAGAGGGCTACATACATTCCTATACCTGGATACAAGCAAAGACAAAACATTAAATTATGATAAGTATTACTGGATACAAATGATTGGGAGTATGGACTCTTAATAAATTCGGCTGCTAAAATATATATACACGGATATATACACCTATTTATATAATGGAACACATGTATATATATGGAGAATACACACTAAAACTCAGACCACTTGAAAAGTAAAGATTGTTATTCAGACATTAGCAGCACCTGCATAATCCATCTAAACATTTTGGTTTAACAAATTTCTGTTAACCAAGTAAGAAAAGTGTATTATAATTCTTAAAACAATAAGCCCTACTTCTCTTAATTCCTGTTAGAGTCATCATTTAGCATATTCACCTGAAAACCACAAAATGCTTATTGATGAATACAGATAGTTGAGTTAATGATTTTATAATAAATGATGGCTATGACAATTCAGGATAAGTATGCAATGAATGTAACCTATTATCCTGTAAGGCTTCCTTAATACAGTTTTCTCTATCAGAAATTGTCTGTCTAGGAATTAACAGAAAACACAGAAAACCATACATATGTAATATATTTTACAATTTAATTATCATAGAAATATGATGCCATGTTAAAGAAAGGAAGATTTAAAATTTTTAATGAGGAGCTACAGATAGTTTTCCTAACTTAAAACTAACATTTAGGACAGACGTTTCTCTAATTCAAGTGTTTTCTTTCTATCGTAAAGCATCCTATAAGTAACAAAGATCCCACTGGTTTTCACACAAAAATCTATCCACCATAGTAAATATAACCTAAATGCTCCAATGTTAAGGCAATAAACATTTTGCAGAAGTTTTTAAGATGCTGAAGCTTGAGAACCAATAGGGATTGAACACACTAGTGATGGAAGAAAAATAGAGCTATTGATTGCAAATCTATCATTAGTTTACAGGTCAATACATGTTTTCCAGTTAACAGTAGTAGCCAGAGAAGGTCTCCATGCTTGTGGAATTATTACTTCATTGAAGGGCTTATTTTAAGTCATACGATCAGCATTTACTATCAATACGCTGCAATTAAGCAATACTGATATATAAAAATATAAGCTTATAAATGGATACATCATAGAGAAGGCACTTAGAATGGTATAAAAAAGGACCCACAAAGGCAGAGATGTGTTTTGTTTCTCCTAGAACACCTAGAATAGTGACCGGTACACAGTAGGTGCTGAATGATCACACGAATAAGTTTTCTTTACAAAGGCGAAAGTTTCCACACAGCTTCACTGACTGTTTCTCCATCCCTAATGACACATAGAAGCACTTTAAGGCCATCTCTACTCCTGCAGCGTCCGCAGATGCAGGAAAGCTAAGTGACTACTGGAGATGGGTTCTCATCGCACTCTGCCACTAACTTGTTATGAGTCTTAGGGTAAGTGACGTGACCATTCTGGCTATCAGCTCTCTTGTCTGTAAACTTCAGTGACCGGAATAAATGAACTATAATCCAGTTGAGGATTCTTTTTAAAAGCTAGTTTTCTAAGGCCACTTAAAATATGATTTGGTGTATACAAATTTTGTATCATTTAAACCTTCAGAAACATACTTATGAGGCAAAATCAGAGACATGCATAGCTTTAATTCTGAACACTTTCCCTCTTCAGGACGGTACTTTACATAATATCAGCATATAAGCAGAAGCTTTAAATATTTATAGCAAACAAATTATCTGACTTTAGAAAAACCAGACACATTACTTTATGTTCTAATTTATATAGATTATTTTAATGGTAAAATCCCCATGTATGAGTTTCATTTTACTTCTATAGTAGAAATCTGTGATTTCCTCCTCCTCATCAAACTGTTCACACTCTAAGACAATCACATGCTTGCCTCTGTCCCCTTACTGGAGAGCTCTATGAGAACATAATAAAGTAGGTAGAGACTGGTATCTGGAACAACTGATTCCTAATACTCTTGCAGCCTGCCCAGATGCCACCTACTCATCTTGACTGTAAATGCAGGGTTTTCATATCATATGATAAAAAAAAAAGTTAATGGGTCCAAAATCGTTCTTAAAGAATGAATCAGAATTACATACTTTTAGAATTTGGAGACATAAGGTTAAATAACCTTACCTGGGCAAGCTTACGCTTTTCTAGATTTCCTCCCTTTTCATTGTGTAATGTGTAAACTGGTGTATATTGTACAGAACCAGAACAGGTCCCATAATCTTCTTCATTTTCCTACACATAAAGAAATATACAAGGAATTATTTTAAAATACTCCTTTTATTACTTTTAGACAAACTATCCGATATAGATGCAAATACCAAAATAATGCTTCAAATGTAAGTTTAAAAACTCTATTTCAGAAGAAAATGCACTTTTATATATTATGCATTAATGATTTCTAAATTAATCTCTTTTGAATAACATGAATAAAAGCTATTATTTACTCTCCATCACAAAAATGGAAGTTTCAAGTAGTATTTGTTCTTCAAAGGTAGATATTCAAAACAACTGACAAAATCTGTAAAGATATAATATGTAATCAAATTGAAAACACATATACATACACATAAATATTCATATACATGCAATATTCATAGATTCAAATACATATCTTCAAACACAATCTTTTATAAATTAAGAACATGCTTCGAATTAAAGTAGCTACAGTTAGAAAGTTCCTATAAAGCCAAATGATGGCATTCCTGGCTTGATTCTGCACCAAAGATCATCTTTTTAAAGAAATTCTCAGCTTGAAGCAAGAATTTCAATTGTGATATCAAGGCAATCAACTTTATGAAAACATACATCCTGTTAAAGCATCTTTGAAGATCTCCGTTGTTCTGTGATAAAATATGCAAACAATAAAGAGATTATTCAGTGGATGCATACAGAATGGCAGATAGTTGCCAGAGGGCTTGTTATGAAAAATACATTCTTGAACAAAGGGCTAAGCATATTTCAAACATCATTAAAAACATAAATCTCATGTGATTTGTAAAGTATGAGCTTCAAACTAATGCAAGAATCAAGGAAGAATGAAAAGAGTATGACGTACCTTATGTTTTAGCTTACTCTTCACTTCCTTTATTCCCTGCTTTGCATGATTTTTTGCCTAGAAAAAGGTAACGCAAGTGTCTGGCTCAGCATGGTTCTATTACCACTTAAAGAGTTAGTAGATGAGATCACACTCCATGAAACTTGCTAACTTCATATTATTTAGAAAAAGAACAAATTATAATTTAAAACTCTTAATTCTTCAGGGAAACCACACCACTTACTATTATATCTAAATTAGTGAAAACGCGATTAGTCTCTATTTGCATACTAGTACCATACAAAGGCTAACATTTAGCCTACTTTGCCTCCTAAGCTATAGAAAACACAGCCCAGTCTTAATTTGCAATTGTGATTAACTGGTGGTGAAAGGAGAAAGCACAGCAGCAGGTTATTTGGGCAAATGTTTGGACTTTAAAGAAACGGGCAACTTTACAAAGCTTTACTGAAGTGCTTTTACAGGCAGACACACGTTTTTATTAGCAGAGATATTTTAAAGTTATGGCTATTTCATGTACAGTTTTTCCGGCATAAATTAAAAGCCACTTAACAAAAGATGCTATCTTCATGTTCCATAGGGAATCTGGCTCCAGTATTTGAGCATCTCAGGTCCTGATGTGATTCCTGTGGGATATAATTTAACTAAAGACAACTGGCCTTGGCCTTTGTTCCATTGGAAATTCCCAGAGTGGCCACGGACAAAAAGAAAGGAAATTCACATTTATGTTGTGTTTCCTCAGTATTTGATCATGTGCTGGGTACCTAACATGTATCAGCTCATTTAATCATTACAAATCTATGAAGTTAGGACAATTATTATGACATTTTTACAGATAAGGAAAGTGACTCAGAGGAGATCGGTCTGCATAGCCTCATTCCAGATCTGGGTCTATTTAATTCCTGAGTCCAACTTCTCCCCATCAGAAAGGAGAAGGAAGAACTAAAGTTTTTAAAATAGATCTACTGACTCTAAGCCTCACACAAGAAAAGGCATTACAAGTCTCATTCTACAGACATGGAAACTGAGGTCATACAGACTGAAGACTTTCTAATTCCAATATTCTTGCTCCTACCAAACCATCCTGCTTCTTGAATTACTTCTAGGAAGAGTGAATACATGTCTTCCCAAGTTCATTTAGGGGAAGGCTCTCATTTCTTTCCGGATAATATCTGTAGTACCTAATATAATATTTGGCATATAGTAACTGCTCAAGAAATGTCTTGAACTCAACTAAACAATTATTTCTTCATTGTATATGAGGCAAAATCAAAACATGCTACACATAGTAAAAGATAACCTAAAACACCAAATAACACTAAATTATATTCCCATGGTTCTTTGGAATTAATAAAGCATTTTCACATTGTTTTATTGTTAAAGCCTCTGAATCTATTTATTTATTTATTTATTTTTTTTTAATTTTTTTTTCAACATTTATTTTTGGGACAGAGAGAGACAGAGCATGAAAGGGCGAGGGGCAGAGAGAGAGGGAGACACAGAATCGGAAACAGGCTCCAGGCTCCGAGCCATCAGCCCAGAGCCTGACGCGGGGCTCGAACTCACGGACCGCGAGATCGTGACCTGGCTGAAGTCGGACGCTTAACCGACTGCGCCACCCAGGCGCCCCTCTCTGAATCTATTTAAAGGGTCCTATATTAATCCCTACATTCTCATTAGGTAAAAATGAAAAATTACCAAGAAAATGTGCCTGTCTCTATCTTCTAGAATTTTTATCCATATTTGCTCACATTTTGTCATATTCTAATTTACCTAAATATTCTCTAACCTTTCAAAATCCACTTGATTCACACTAATCTTTTCAGAAGCTCTTCAGTATACAGAGTTGAATCTAGTGTCAGTCATGGTTCTGTAATTCATTGGACTGATTCCCTTACGCATCTCTTGTCCTACCCTCCTCCACTGACCTCTTTCAGATGATCTGGAAGATGGGGTACAGGCTCTATCCTTTTCAATCTACCAAGTTGAAACTTACCAATAAACAAGTATTCTTTACAGAGAAGCACCCAGCAGATGGCTTTGGCTAATAATTTAAAATACAAAAACCTAACAAGAAAGTTGACTCAGAAACGCTTTTAGCCAAATCAATTATGTATTCACTTTACTGCTATTTTTTAGATTTCTAAGAAAGTGTATCTGTTAATTGTAGTTTTCTTTATGGCCCCTCTAAGCACAGAAAAATAGAAGTATAAAACACATAGAAAAAAATGTTTCAAGTACAGAAAAACTGTTCTAAGTATAGGACAAAGTCATTATCTCCTTCAACAAAACATATTCAGCTCCTTTGTAGTACATGCAAAGTACAGAGCAAAGTAACAGTGATACAAACATGAAATTAGCAGGAACAGTACCTCTCCCCTTCCCAGTACTGCCACACTCACTGCTGTAACTCAGATAACCAGCATGAGGCCTTCTTCATGGGAGGTACTCAAACAATTTACTGAATGAATGAAAGTTTAAAACACGGTTCCTTTTTTAAAACTTTACTATCTATAGAAACACAAGTAAATAAATTCTGTTAAACCCATACAAGAGAGATTGGGAGTTTTGTTCATAGTAATTTGTGGTCAAAGGAGGAATTTCAAGAGTTCTTATTTCAGAAGATGAGCAGCCTGGAAAGATGAGTTTTAGATACAACTATGAAAGTCACAAATTGGCTTTCTTGTCCCAAATCTCTTTGACTTCTTGATTCATGTACAACATGATCACAAGATCATAAGATAAATAAAGGAAAGTGATTAGGTATATTCTGAAGACCTTAAATTGCCTGAAATCAATTTAGGGAATAATCTTTCAGAGAGCACAATTTTTAATCTGGAAACATTTGACTCTTCTGCAGAAGAGCGTTCTCAGCAAAAAAATAAAATACTGATTAGAAAGATAGAAATATGAATAATGAATGAAGTTTTAAATATGTTTGCTTTATTTCTGGGTTTTTGTGGGAAAATATGAGTGAAATTAAGGAGAGAAACACATACTTAGCAAAATAATACAATACATTTTCTCTGAGCCTGAGGAAAAACTTCAAGTGTTTGCTCAAGGAATTAAATGAAGGGCACTTGACTAGAAAACCTTTTTTAGAATCTTAAATGAATGTGAAAAACAAGGCTAGTCTGATGTTTCACATGGCAGCCAAGTGCTACTTCATTGTAAAAAATTAAAATCTCTTCAAAACTGTATATAAATCAAACCACCAGTATTATAGTGAAATAGAGTGATATACACAGAGAGGTTTTCCAGAAAAGCCATGAAACAATCAACCCAAAGGCAGAGGCTGATGTTTCCAAGGCAAAATGATGAAACCTTCCTACTTTTATTTTTATGATATGGCTTCAAATAGTTCAGAATTTTGGCACCATATTTTTGAATCAACTCTAGCTGAAGCCTTTACTCATCTCTAATCTTTGAAATTGACTTTTTTTTTTTTAATTTTTTTTCGAACGTTTGATTGTTATTTTTTGACAGAGAGAGACAGGATGAGCATGAAGGTCAGGGGCAGAGAGGGAGACACAGAATCAGAACAGGCTCCAGGCTCTGAGCCATCTACGCCAACCTGAGGGCCGAACTCCACCGGACCCATGAAGATGTAGCCTGGTGAAGTCAGACAACCAACTGCGCCACCCAGGAGCCCCGAAATTGACTTTTTTTAAACAATAATGGTGGCTACACATATTTGTCATAATTGTACACCACAGCAAGAATATAAGTTCTACGCTTATTAAAATACATTATTCCATTACTAATTCAATCGTATCATTTCCTTTACTGAGACAGCATTTGAAGATAAATTCTTATAAAATCAAAACTACTGCCCTGAATATTTTTTAGAAATATGAAATATACATGACCTGTGGCATTTAAAAAATTACTTCAGTGAATACGAATCTACTAGCTCCTACCTCAAGTAGCTCTAGTCTAATATTAGAGATGAAGATGCCCACAGGAAAACCTGTGCTGAAACAGAGGTATGTCTGAAGGTCTTATGAGGACCTGGGAGGTATATAAACCCTGTGAATGTGGGGTTGGAAAATGTTTTCTCAGGGAAACAACTAATGCCTAAACTAAGTCTTATAGGATGAATTAGTGTTTACTCGGTGGACAAAACCCAGAAATAAATGTCCCAAGTAGTGGAAATGGATTGTGTAAGAACAGAGGCAGAAGAGAAAATCTTGCATTCATGAAATGAGGAGCACTCAAGATCTGGAGAGAGAGGGTAAGCTCAGGGAATTGGGGTGAATTGAAACAGGACACAAAAGGGGTTAGGTCTTGAGGGTCTTAGTTAACATATTAAAGAGATTTTAATTTTATTAATTGCTTATTGTTATTGCTATTGATACAGCTGTTTTTATTTTATTATAAGCCATGGAGAATCACTGAAGAATTTTAATTATGGAGAGTCAAGCATCTTTGAGGGAAAAGAACTTACCCTAATTTTCTGGGTTTTTTTCTATTTGAACCTCAGTATACAATGAGAATTTAAAATATGTCAATAAATTAAAAAGTCAAATCTCTAAAAATGGCACTTCATTAGGGACTGTTGCAATTTGAATGCACAATTTTCCTGATTGCTTTGAAATAAAATGAAGAATTGGTTTTATATAACATGAAGGGAATATCCTTTCTACACAATAATTTCAATAACTGAATTCACTTTGATCAATATTAACTCCACAATTTTTTTAAAAAGTTTTTTTTAGAGAAAAAATGGGGGGTCCCTCAGTGGCTCAGTTGGTTAAGTGTCTGACTTCGGCTCAGGTCACTATTTCAGTTTGTGGGTTTGAGCCCCGCATCAGGCTCTGGTCTGACTGCTCAGAGCCTGGAACCTGCTTCGGATTCTGTGTCTCCCAATATCTCTCCCCCCCACCGCCCCCACTCATGCCCTGTCTCTCTCTCTCTCTCAAAATCAAATAAACATTAAAAAAACATTTTTTTAAAGAAAGAAAAAAAATGGGAGGTATTCTAGATTTACATGTCTGTTAGCTAGGAAAATGTAAAATTTTATCAATAAGAAAACTTACAAATTTATATGCTGTCCGTACAGCTGGAGTTGCTTTGGTCATTGCTGTGTTAAACAGTGCACCTCCTCTCTGCAAACAAACAAACAAACAAACAAACAAACCAAAAAGACGTATTTCCAAAATTTTTAAAACCAGATTAACCTGAAAACAAAGCATTATTAATAGCACAGAAAAAGAGGTTTACTTACAAATTAAACAAAGACCTATAGAAGTTACTTCAGATTTAGTCTTTTCAAGCTTTCATATACCATATATGGTCATTTCAGATAAAATGTAAACCCTCTACTCCATTCCTTTAGTTGGTATAATACATGATTTAAAAATCATTTCAGCTTTGCAGTTTAGGCAGACTAGAGCAATAGGACCCATCATAGGTATGTAGTTAAAACTTGATAAGAAAGAAATATAATCTGGGCACCGGGGTGGCTCAGTCTGTTAAGCATCCGACTTTGGTTCAGGTCATGATCTTGAGGTTCATGAGTTCGAGCACATCAGGCTCTGTGCTGACAGCTCAGAGCCTGGAGCCTGATTCAGATTCTGTCTGTCTGTTTCTCTCCATCAAGAATAAATAAACATTAAAAAAAAAAAAAGAAATACACTCAAACTGTTTATCAACTGTTTTAAGGTTGGGCAATACAGTCTAAATCTCTGGAGGTGAGTTTTACATTTAATAAAATCGTATTAACAAAACACATTACCAGAAATGATAAAACTCCTCTCAAATCCTATTTCTCCTTCTAATTCTTTTGTTCTAGGATATAATATAAAGTGACAAAAACATCTTGATTTTCAAAACAAGCCATTTATCTCTGAACAAAAGCTTTCCATTTTAAAATTATGAATATCAAACTATAATAGCATAAAATAAAAATATTTAAAATGTGACAAAATATACAAACATTTTAAGTATTGCTAATAAATAGCATAAGTATAAGCAGCATCCTTTTAGTGAACATTTCTCCATATATTTTGAGTGAAGGAGGAAGAAGTGGTGAAGGGTTATCATTACCTTGACTGTATGCACCCACTGTTGATATGACCTCGGGTTCCCTGGAATATATAAAAATAAGATGTCAGGACTATTTGATCTAAAATATATCCATCAACTAAAATTCATCAAGAACTAATACTTCCAGGATTTTAACAAATTTTGTTTATCTGCAATGTTGTGAAAAATGCAATAGTATTGTAGAATAAACTGCTCTAATTCTTAGAAACACGGTAATTAGCATTTCCAAGAATAGACACGGTTTTCTTTAGTCACATATGAAGGTAATATGTCAAAACACTCTATCTTCTTTCGTTTTAATATTGTATTCAGAGAGGAAAAATATGCTGTCTCTTTTAAAATCCAAGGTTCCTATGTCTTTTATACCATATTTTGTGTTTTATGTCTATGTTGTCTTTAAAAAGTTTGCCTCTTTTATGCAATTAGGTTCACTTAAAAATAATATTGCAAGTGCACAGAGAAAGAAAAAACTAAAAAGGGATTAAAAAATGCAAAAAACCAGGGGCGACTGGGTGGCTCAGTTGGTTAAGCATCCAACTCTTGGTTTCAGCCCAGGTCATGATCTCATGGTTCAGGAGTTCAAGCCCCACGTTGAGCTCTGTGCTGACAGCACAGAGCCTGCTTGGGATTCTTAATCTTTCTCCCTCTCTTTGTCTCTCAGAATAAATAAATAAACATTGTTTTAAAAAATGCAAAGAACCTTGAAGACAAAATATTCTATAGTTTTTAAATATAAACATTAATTGACAGCAAATTTTACTTTAATGCAATTAAACTACAGTCATAGTTCTGTAGATACTCTCTAGTTGTAAATCCAAGGTTGAAAATATAGTACCCAAGGAAATATAAAACAAACGAAAGTTTTAGTCTACAGGGCATTGTGGTTATTAGAAAGTTCAAATGCTGACCAATTCTTTTTTTAAAAATTTTTATTCAAATTCCAGTCAGTTAACATACAGCGTAATAGTAGTTTCAGGTGTACAATATAGTGATTCAACACTTCCATACAATACTTGGTGCTCATCACAGGTGGACTCCTTAAAACCAGTTCTAAAAACCTAGTAATCATATATTTGGTTCCAAGTATGGTAATGTAATCAATAAAATGGTATTAGAAGGCAAAAAAAAGAACACGATCTCAAGTAATGTTTTATATCAACTGACTTAGATTTCATGTACCTTCTTCATTTAAATGCTTAAAAAACATGGCCATTCAAAGACTATCTGGTACAAAGAATCCCTAAAACAGATTAAGGTCTCTTCTTTTTTTAATGGAGGTATAACTTAGATATAACATTATATCAGCTTCAGATATAGAGCATAATGATTCGATACATTGGGAAATGATCACCACAATTAATCTAGTTAAATCTGTCACCATACATGTTCTCCACTTGTGTATAGTTGTGTCCTTTTAAAAAATTCATTACCTTGCTGTCATAAAACAGAGGCAGAATGATTCCAGCCCAAGAATTTATTTCCAGCTGTTCTCTTTGCATTCCTAACCAACATCAGGCAAAATGTGTTCAGCTCTAAAATTACTCCTGTAATTAAAATCTTTCTCTACTTTAAAAAAAAAATCAAGAAACAACCCCCAATTGCTAAAAGCATCGCTTATGACTCAGCACGGCACTTAACTGGAAGACAATATATGGCAAAATAATATTTTTTTCTAATTTTGTGAAATGATTATAGCAAAAAGTGTCTACTTAAAATAGCCTGTGTAAGTGAAATGTGCACTGTTCAAAACCTATGAGTTCCAGGTGGTATTTTGCCTGAACACTTTTTTTGAAATCATGCAAAATGACAAAAATTCAAGTTATTGTATTTGTATTGTATTTATTTCTAAGGAGATTTTATTAACAAAAAAAGTAAACAATATAACTATATCCAGATTGTTCATATACGCTTACCTATTCAAAGTTCTCATCAGTTCATATATTTTTAACTTCTCTACTATAAATGGTTGGGTAGAAATCACACATTTAAGGGCTGGTTATCACTTATAGTATTCTGGGAAGAGTTTTATTTTCATTCTCTTCCCAAAATGAATTTAAGAAAGTGGAAAGAGAAACACTAACTTCTATGTGACAACTATTTAGCATTTTGGAATACTTGTCATCCAGAAAACAATTTTTTAAAGGCTCCAAACTACAAAGAAAATAGCTAGCAGAAAACTTAAGCGCAGTTAGAGAAGAGTATCTTATTTAGAGTTGTGAGGAATAAAAATAGCTCATATTCAGCTCTTCACAGGCCACTAAATGTTTTTACGTACATTACCTTATTTGAGCTGTGTTTTTGTACTCTAAAATAGGCAAAGCAGGTAGTGTCTTAAGCAGCACATTCCAAGCACAGTTCAATGAGGAGTCCAATAGATCAGGGGGCTCAAGTCCACTGTATCTTTGTAAACTATGCTATTTGGGACCAGTCCTTAACCTGGTTGCTACAATGTTACTTAGTATGGTACCTAGCATATCACAGACACACCATACATACAAGTTTTATTGCAATAACTCGCCAAATGAGGAAACTGAAGGTTCTGAAGTGGCCCTAGGTCACAAAGATAGCAACTGAGGAATAATAAGAATCCGGGTATTTGAATTCCTGGTTAAACAGTCCTTCAGCCCAGAAATTCTACCTCTTAGACTGCTAAATAAAATATGATAAAACTTAAGATATATAGAGATTTCTTCTGTATCAGTTCAAAGTAATTACACTAGAAAGGAAAAGGGGCTGCTCAAAGCTGATACTTTGAGAAGAAACAGTTGACAGAATCACCAATAATAATCCAGAATTATATGCAGGGGGAAAACAGGAAGTCCCCAAATAAACTACTTAAAATGGTAGGGAAACATGTGGTACAATTTAGGTATTCCTATTTAAAATTTTTAAAAAAGAGGGGCGCCTGGGTGGCTCAGTCACTTAAGTGTCTGACTTCGGCTCGCGTCATGATCTCATGGTTTATGAATTCAAGCCTGATGTTGGGCTCTTCTCAGAACCTGGAGGCTGCTTTGGATTCTCTCTCTACTCCTCCCCTTCTTGCGTGTCTGTTGCCCTCTCTCCCAAAAATAAATAAATAAAACATTAAAAAAATTATGATATTTGTTTCTTTAAATTTAGTGCCTTTCAGATTGAAAGCTTCTATTTCTACAAAATTTATGAGACAGGCACATTATTCTTTAGAAATGTTTTTGAGCCTGTTTTTCTTCTCAAAAAAATTAATGTGAATGCCAGAAAACTCTCTGAGTCTTTCCATTAAAGTAAATGGATTATGGAAATAATAAGTGTCATTGAGGAAATTCTTAACATTGTTCTCATTCATCATACCAGTGATTTTCTCACACCCAAGGACAAAATATCTTTGTTTCCCCCTTGTGCAAAGACTTCATCTTCAAATGTATTTGTTTGAATTCCAGTAATTTGTAGTTACTGTTCAAAAAGTATATAAATTGACCTAAATTGTTCAGTGAAGCCTGGAAAATGTCACTAAAACTGAAGATCACCTACCATCTCTTCAAATTCCCCTGATGCCTTAGTCAGTTAAAAAAAAAAA